TAAGCTACATTGTAGCCACAGCTGCCCTGGGGCACACTGACAGAGGCGGAGCTGCCATGCACCGGCACCACCGGACCCTCTGACCACCATCAGTTACATAAATGTGATATTTACATGACACTGAAGTTACATAACTTCAGGGTATCGTCAAAAACTTGACTTGAGGGTGCCAATTTTAGTTTTAAACAGTCTTAGTATGTTTGAGGCTGAGCTGTTGGAGCAAATTCTTGTGTTACCACCTGCAGTAACAAGTTTAAAGGAGACATGCTTTTAAATCCTTATTTTTCACAAATCATTCAAATCGTTCTATATAAAGTGGGACTGCAAAGCTTTGGTCTAAATTCCTCCTTGTAACTCCACAAGCCCCTCTTTCACCCCTTTTCTCAGGTGTGTCTCAGATCTAGGGTTGGGCATAATCGTATCGTCTGCAATTAATCGTCAGAAAAACATTAATCAATTATTTTTTGGCACTTGACGATTAATACGATTAATGCCACCAGGCAGAGTGACTGGAGATTTCCTCGGTCAGTCCGCTCGGTGCTCCTCTCCGCTTCAAATATGACGAACATTTAAATAAAAGTTCTGTAATTTATCTATCAACACAATCTAAAATTTGAGGTATAGCCTGAAGTCTGTGATTTTGACAGTTTGAAAAAGATTTTTACGAAGAGCTAATCTTTCCCACTAAATTGGTCAGGTGACTAAGAGTGTCCAGGGACTCCAGGGGATTAATCGTCAAATTAATCGTTATTGGCTAAACACCACAATTAATCGTGATTAATTTTATTGCCAATATCGCCCAACCCTACTCAGATCAACTCGTTATGAATCCAAACAAGGCACTTCATATTTCACCCCCTCTAGTTTCCAGACCGCTCCATTCTATACCGTTCAGCCAGTGTAGTTTCATAGCAGAGATACGACTATATAACGACGCAGAAACTTTTTATTTACAAATTAATTATCAAAAAGGGAAGACTTGTCCATCCAGCCTTACATGTTGGAGCCAGAGTCTGACCCAGAACCAGAGGAGAATGTAGACTACCAATAGGTAATTGGTAAGTCCAGACCTTTTTTAGAAGTTTTGTTGCAATATCTGTGACGCAATAGTTTAGAAAATGTCATCGAAAATAGAGAAAACTGAATGAATTGAAAAATATGACCCAAACAGGATATAAAGATATCTACGCAGCACCGGGAGAGACTAAATTAAACTTTTCTGCTCTTCTAGAGACTCCAAGTACACAACAAAATGCATTTACCATCTAAAAAAGTGGATTTTGCCTGATATGTCCCCTTTAACTCAACAGTTTGCAGAATATCGTTGTTTGATTCACATCAGAGCTTTTAAAGCCGATGCTTCTGTGCAACTACTCCTCCTTGCCTTTTGGGAACAAGTTATTTTTGGTCGTCACCCTCAGCTGTTATGTCTGCCCCAGCTTCTCTTTCCATACTTTCTGTGTACAGCTCTATCATTCTCAACACCTCCAACAATGACACTATCTTGCCTTGTGCTGCTTTATTTATAATGTGCATTCAGTGGCGCAGCAGGTAAAATGGTCCCCCACGAAACAGTTTATTGACTGACACGATGGTCCAAAAGTTGTTCAGGCTATTTAAACTGGTATGCAGTATGGAAAACTCATCACGTAAGAAAAAAAAAGTTTTTTTTAATATGAACTGGTATACCGCACAGCTCTAGTAGGAAAATGTTTTAAAAGCAGCAAGCCCTGTTTTTATCTGTCAGTTTAAACAGATTGTGTGTGTTTCTAATAGAGGTTTCTGTGTCTAGGTGCTACATAGAGTCCAAAGCTTCACCTGTAGCATGCCTCTGTCTCATCTTCTCTGGCTTCCACACTCTGAGTGGTCATTTCACTTCAAAATGATGGCAATCCAGAACAAAACAAAAATCTGTCTTTGACCTGCTTTTTGTTGTACATTATTGTCTCTCTCAGATAGACTGTTATGACTACAACAACAGCGGCTCTCATAACTTCATTGGATCCTTTCAGACCACACTCAGCCAAATGCAGCAGGCATCACAGTCATATGCGGTGAGCTCTACTATGTGTATTTGTTGGTTTGAGCCATTTTCTTCCCAATTATACAAAACACAGATTATAGGAATTGTCTGATCATCTCAGGCTGAGTTTGAATGCATCAATAGCAAGAAGAAGGAGAAGAAGAAAGGATACAAAAATTCTGGCATTATCATCATAAAACAGTGCAAGGTATTGTGGTCTATTATCTTTTAAAGTGTGTTTATAGTCATTTTATCAGGCAATCTTACWGTGTTTTTACTTCAGTATTTGTGTGACATATACTAGTGCCAATGGTTCAATGATTTCCTGTCATCTGTATTTGACTGCAGGTAGTGAAGGAGTACACTTTCCTGGATTACATAATGGGTGGCTGTCAGATCAACTTTACTGTGAGTGCTACACACTTTTATGAATCTTACCCCTTTTACCACTTATAGAAACTGTCAAAATGTTTAATTTTTTTTAATTGAATGGTGATACTGAACATTTGTTGCTTCATGCTGGGCCCAGATTGCTATAGATTTTACAGGCTCCAATGGGAACCCCACGTCACCCATGTCCCTCCACTACATCAACCCTCAAGGCTATAACGAGTATCTGGCAGCCATCTGGGCAGTTGGTAACGTAATCCAGGACTATGACAGGTGAATATATTGGTACGAGTGCAAAGTTTTTCAGGTTTAGGAGTTTATGGATTACATAATATGTGTAAAAGTTTTTTTCCATTTGTAAATGATTTTCCTCGCTGTAAAAGGGCAAAGTCTTTTAAAGTGGAAAATAACTTCAGACGTTTCCCAGACAGCAAAAAATAGCTTCTCTGAGATCATTGCTGAAACTATACTTACTGTATATTTCACTGTGACTTTACACTTAGAGGATTTTGTTGGTAGAGGAAATAAATCCACTGTAAATGATGTAAACGGTGGTGTTTGTCTTCTTTCAGAAAAATAGCTTAAAATGAAACTCAACAAAGCCTTTTTATGCCTTGGGGTGTGGTTCATTTGCAAAACACAAGTTTTGCTGGCCTTGGTNGGTTACTTTACCATTAAGTTTGGACTTCCATGAACTTTCTCACACAGTTTGACTGTTCTGGTTGTTCAATTCTGTGTGTAGAGCTTTTTCTTGTGTCCCATTCTTTTCTCAGCACTGAAGGTGTGACCCTATTGCTGGGCGGTATTACCAAAATTTTATATCCCAGTATTTTTAACAGTTATACCGGTATCACAGTATTTGACTGTATTTTTCTTTTCATGCATAACTGTGTGTGTTAACCACAGTTTCTACTGATTGGGAGGAAAAATACTGCAGTAAAGTGGCTAGAAAAGTGATGGCTTTTGGTAATTTAACCCACTGCTTGCTTGTTTTGTCATATAGAGTAACTGTCATCTGCTTTACACTCACATTCACCCACTGACACACTGATGATGGTAAGCTACATTGTAGCCACAGCTGCCCTGGGGCACACTGACAGAGGCGGAGCTGCCATGCACCGGCGCCACCGGACCCTCTGACCACCATCAGTTACATAAATGTGATATTTACATGGCACTGAAGTTACATAACTTCAGTCAAGTTTTTGACTTGAGGGTGCCAATTTTAGTTTTAAACAGTCTTAGTATGTTTTAAGCTGAGTTGTTGGAGCAAATTCTTGTTACCACCTGCAGTAACAAGTTTAAAGGAGACATGCTTTTAAATCCTTATTTTTCACAAATCATTCAAATCATTCTATATAAAGTGGGACTGCAAAGCTTTGGTCTGAATTCCTCCTTGTAACTCCACAAGCCCCTCTTTCACCCCTTTTCTCAGGTGCTTCTCAGATCAACTCGTTTTGAATCCAAACAAGGCACTTCATATTTCACCCCCTCTAGTTTCCAGACCGCTCCATTCTATACCGTTCAGCCAGTGTAGTTTCATAGCAGATATATGACTATATAACGACGCAGAAGCTTTTTGTTTACAAATTAATTCTCAATAAGGGAAGACTTGTCCATCCAGCCTTACATGTTGGAGCCAGAGTCTGACCCAGAACCAGAGGAGAATGAAGACTACCAATAGGTAATTTGTAAGTCCAGACCTTTTTTAGAAGTTTTGTTGCAATATCTGTAACACAATAGTTTAGAAAATGTCATCGAAAATAGAGAAAACGGAATGGATTGAAAAATATGACCCAAACAGGATATAAAGATATCTACGCAGCACCGGGAGAGAYTAAATTAAACTTTTCTGCACTTCTAGAGACTCCAAGTCCACAACAAAATGCATTTACCATCTAGAAAAGTGGATTTTGCCTGATATGTCTCCTTTAACTCAACAGTTTGCAGAATATCGTTGTTTGATTAACATCAGAGCTTTTAAAGCCGATGCTTCTGTGCAACTACTCCTCCTTGCCTTTTGGGAACAAGTTATTTTTGGTCGTCTCCCTCAGCTGTTATGTCTGCCCCAGCTTCTCTTTCCATACTTTCTGTGTACAGCTCTATCATTCTCAACACCTCCAACAATGACACTATCTTGCCTTGTGCTGCTTTATTTATAATGTGCGTTCAGTGGCACAGCAGGTAAAAKGGTCCCCCACGAAACAGTTTATTGACTGGTACGATGGTCCAAAAGTTGTTCAGGCTATTTAAACCGGTATGCAGTATGGAAAACTCATCATGTAACAAAAAAAAAGTTTTTTTTAATATGAACTGGTACACCGCCCAGCTCTAGTAGGAAAATGTTTTAAAAGCAGCAAGCCCTGTTTTATCTGTCAGTTTAAACAGATTGTGTGTGTTTCTAATAGAGGTTTCTGTGTCTAGGTGCTACATAGAGTCCAAAGCTTCACCTGTAGCATGCCTCTGTCTCATCTTCTCTGGCTTCCACACTCTGAGTGGTCATTTCACTTCAAAATGATGGCAATCCAGAACAAAACAAAAATCTGACTTTGACCTGCTTTTTGTTGTACATTATTGTCTCTCTCAGATAGACTGTTATGACTACAACAACAGCGGCTCTCATGACTTCATTGGATCCTTTCAGACCACACTCAGCCAAATGCAGCAGGCATCACAGTCATATGCGGTGAGCTCTACTATGTGTTTTTGTTGGTTTGAGCCATTTTCTTCCCAATTATACAAAACACAGATTATAGGAATTGTCTGATCATCTCAGGCTGAGTTTGAATGCATCAATAGCAAGAAGAAGGAGAAGAAGAAAGGATACAAAAATTCTGGCATTATCATCATAAAACAGTGCAAGGTATTGTGGTCTATTATCTTTTAAAGTGTGTTTATAGTCATTTTATCAGGCAATCTTACTGTGTTTTTACTTCAGTATTTGTGTGACATATACTAGTGCCAATGGTTCAATGATTTCCTGTCATCTGTATTTGACTGCAGGTAGTGAAGGAGTACACTTTCCTGGATTACATAATGGGTGGCTGTCAGATCAACTTTACTGTGAGTGCTACACACTTTTATGAATCTTACCCCTTTTACCACTTATAGAAACTGTCAAAATGTTTAATTTTTTTTAATTGAATGGTGATACTGAACATTTGTTGCTTCATGCTGGGCCCAGATTGCTATAGATTTTACAGGCTCCAATGGGAACCCCACGTCACCCATGTCCCTCCACTACATCAACCCTCAAGGCTATAACGAGTATCTGGCAGCCATCTGGGCAGTTGGTAACGTAATCCAGGACTATGACAGGTGAATATATTGGTACGAGTGCAAAGTTTTTCAGGTTTAGGAGTTTATGGATTACATAATATGTGTAAAAGTTTTTTTCCATTTGTAAATGATTTTCCTCRCTGTAAAAGGGCAAAGTCTTTTAAAGTGGAAAATAACTTCAGACGTTTCCCAGACAGCAAAAAATAGCTTCTCTGAGATCATTGCTGAAACTATACTTACTGTATATTTCACTGTGACTTTACACTTAGAGGATTTTGTTGGTAGAGGAAATAAATCCACTGTAAATGATGTAAACGGTGGTGTTTGTCTTCTTGCAGAAAAATAGCTTAAAATGAAACTCAACAAAGCCTTTTTATGCCTTGGGGTGTGGTTCATTTGCAAAACACAAGTTTTGCTGGCCTTGGTTACATTACAAAATTGCAAAAATGGCTACATTTCCAAATTATCTTTTTTTTTTGTTACCTAACTGAAGTTATTTATAGCTGATATTTAATTCACATTTAACCTAAAATATAGGAATGAAGGAGCAAATGTACTGTATCAGTCTGTATGTTAGGGCTGGGCGATATGGCCCAAAAAAAGAATTCTCCGATTTTTTTCACCCCAAATTCGATTTTTGATTTTAATCCATTTTGTTTCCCACTTAATAGAGTGCCTCTGTTTGAGGTGTCCAAACAAATTTGTCATACTCCTGCTTTTTGTAGCAAGAGCCTTCAAACAGATTTTGCAGTGAGGTGTTCGTTGCTCCAAGTCCGAGGTTGCAAAACCTAACCAGTTCCAGATAACAGATGGAACAGTGCCTTTTTTGAGAAGTAGATCCTCTTTGCTAGCTGCCATATTGTCATTTTGTGTACCAAGCATCTTGAGGGACAGATGGGGTGACCTCTGAACTACAGAAGGCCTAAAGAGTGCACTGGTGGGAAAAAAATCTTGATTTTCCCAAAATCAAATCTTTATAAATGGCAAATTTGAATTAGTCGATTAAATCAATTTATTGCCCAGCCCTACTGTATGTTAATAATTACCAGGAACGTTTATGTAAAGGTTTCTACACTTTCTGCTTTAAACTGGCAGTATCCATTTTCCTTGTCTAAAAATATTTTATTTACTTTTGTAAGTAAGCTTACTTTGACAATAACAATCAGTTTWAATCACTTTTCTTCGACAGTGACAAGATGTTCCCTGCCTTTGGTTTCGGTGCTCAGATCCCTCCGACGTGGCAGGTGATTTTATCTGCTGTCCTGTAATGTGCATTTGTCTCTTTTAGATACGTTTGTTTGGGACTCATGACTAACATCTGTTTGTGTTTTCAGGTCAGCCACGAGTTTCCCATCAACTTTAACCCGTCTAACCCATTTTGTCAAGGTAAAACCAGATAAAAAACCTGAAATGTGTGTCTTGTTGTGGCTTGTTTTGCAGTAGTGCATAAAATTATGTTCAGTATGCGTATGAGATTCATTTGACTTTAACCCAGTTTTTGTAATGATCTGTAGGTATAGAAGGTGTGGCCTTTGCCTACCAGCAGTGTCTACCTCAGGTGAAGCTTTACGGCCCCACTAACTTTTCCCCAATCATCAACCATGTGGCCCATTTTGGCAGACAGGCCATGCAGCAGCAGACTGCCTCTGTGAGTAGCTGAAAGGAATTTTTCTTTTCTTATCTGTCAAACCTCAATAAAATCATTTAGAAGTCCTTCCATTGAAAAAGTCTGCCTGAGCTTTTACATGAGGTAGTGCTATTTTTGGCATTCAGCTTTATATCATTTTTTAATGTCATTCCCTCATCAAAAACATGCCCAGAGTGTTGCTTTGACTCATTCATGCATTTTTGAGAAATGCTTGAATCTCCTATTGTAGCCACGTGGAGCTGCCTAAACACTTGCTAGTACAAAGCTCCGCTTATTTGTACAGAGCTCCTCCCTGGAGCTCATTGTGCAGCCAAGCTTCTGCCCCACAGAGCACCCCTCCCCCGAAGCATTGTTGTGAAAATGTGCTGAAGTGGGAGTGTTGGAAATGGTAGGAGGTTCCTAAAGAGGCCAGTTTCAAGGCATTTAGATATTGTTGTGTTTGAAGTCACTGGAGGGATGGTTTTCTCCTGGGGTTTAATCTCTGCCGTGATGTGGTGGTCAAAAGAAACTCTGCTGGCCTGTTTGTTTCAAACAGTGAAGCTTTATTCAAACACAGAGCCTACAGTGAAGGACTCCCCTGAACCTTATGGTGCGTTCACACCGAACGCGATTTCAGCTTCAAAATCGCAGCCAACGCTGAAGTTTGAAGCTTGTGCACTTTGAGATCAGACGCTGGACATCTGCGCTGCACGGCGACAGCCGCCCCGCCCTCCCTCCTCTGTCCTCTGTCGGGCTCTGTTTAATGTCGGACGAGGAAGTGGCTTTGCTTTATTTACAGAGGGCAAGAGCGTGTCACATTCGTCAGATAATTAATTCATAATTAATTCACCAGATAATTCAGAGTAGAGGCTCACAGCTGCTTTCAGGACTATTTTTCCAGTCTGATGAGTCGCTGTCACGCATTGCTGCGGATCAGGACACGACTGCAGGCACTCATTTCAGCTAAAGAGCAGGAGCTCCGTCTGTTTCAGGTTAGTGGACMTCATTCAGTAAACTGTCCCGTCRGGAAATATGTCRCTACGTCACACRGTGGAGTCTCTCTGATTGGTTGACGCTGCGCGTCGAGCTGCAAAAGTTCAGATTTCCCAACTTCAGCGATTTGGACGATTTGGACGATTTGGACGATTTTGGACGATCTGAGCGTTCGACGCTCAGATCGTCCAAATCGTCCAAATCGCGCTGCTCTAATCGCGCTTGAGGCGCCGCAGAACTTCCCGACGTTGCTTGAAGCGCGTCCACCATAGACTTTGTATGTAAACCTGCTGCTCCTGACGCTGAAATCGCGTTCGGTGTGAACGCACCATTAGGGAGACTCTATGATCCCACCCAGATGAGAAACAGACATACAGTTGTACTGGGCTTATGCTGTTTGTTAAGGGTTTCAGCATCATTATCACATTTCCCATCCTGGTCCAAACAAATACGCCCTTTCATCTTATTTCAATTTTGGATCATCCTGTTTCAGATACTACAATAGACTATTATGCAGAGTCTAATTTATTTTTGATAAATACAGCATTGTCATAACAACTGAAGGTGGCATAGCTACTTGATTGTGGTATAAAATTAAACTCTGCATCTGGAAAATCCCAACCTTTAATTAAACGTAAAATTCAACTGACATTTAAAAATAGGTATGCAAATGGGATTGCTGACATTCTCTTAAAACCAAAGTCTTTTCTGCAAAGTTTTGAAGAGTGTAGGTAAAAATGACTTCTCTCTACATTTTGTTTTGTGTAAATATTTCACAGAAACACTTGGACCTGTTTAAACGTTTTATTTTCAGACAACAAACACATCTTAATTCTGCCTCTTTTGCTATCCTTAAGCAATACTTTGTCCTGCTGATCATCACGGACGGAGTGATCACGGACATGGATCAGACGCGCGACGCCATTGTTAAAGCCTCTCGGCTGCCCATGTCTATCATCATCGTTGGGGTGGGAGGAGCAGACTTCAGCGCCATGGAGTTCCTGGATGGAGACGACGGGATCCTGCGCTCAGCTACAGGCGAGGCCGCCATGAGGGACATCGTCCAGTTTGTGCCGTTCAGGCAGTTTCAAAACGTGAGCCACTACACGCCATGAGTTGCACTGTTTGTGAAGATGCTGCACTAGAAATAATTTTTACATGTTGCACGTCTTATTTCAGGCAGGCACAGCAGCCCTTGCACAATGTGTACTGGCAGAGTTGCCTGATCAAGTGGCCTCCTTCTTCAATTTATTTGACCTGAAGCCCCCCAACGACCCTTGCCCTTCCTAGATATGTACGAGTACCTCGACTGATTCACTTACCGTTTCCCTCTTTCTTTTCTCCATTAAATCCTAGCTGCATGATGGACACAAAATGACCTGCAAAAAAATGGCATCATTTTGTGTCTTACAGTATGAGTATGGCTTTATATCATCATATACCATGTGTGTGTGTGTGTGTGTGTGTGTGTGTGTGTGTTTGTGTGTGTGTGTGTGGCCGGGGTACCAAATGAGCTGACTCACTAACACTTTGGTTTGGACCACTATCTTTAAGGCTTTCCTCATATTTTACACTCAGTACCCCAGTATGACAGTGTGTCTATGGTAGCTTCGTGGTCAGTGCCGCGGTCTTGTAATCTTGAAGCTGCAGGTTAGAGCCTCAGCTGCATCAGGAAGAGCGTTCGGTCTAAAACAATTGTCAAAATTTTCATGCGAGTTCACTCACTCCGGTAACTACTAATGACAACAGAATTGGCCAAAAAACAAAAAGAAAATAAAAAGAAAAGAACAAAAAACACTGTGAAAAAATACTATTAAATTGTGTTTAAATATATTAAAAATAAACATCTAAAATATCAAAACTCTTTTTTATATACTTGTTAGAATTTTGGGTTTGATGTAACAAAATTTTTGAGCACTTGGATTTGGGCATTTTCTACCATTTTTTGCCGTTCCTCTCAATCTGAGTTTGGATGGGGACTGTTGGTGCAGCCATGTTCAGGTCTTTCCAGAGTTCAGCAAGTTTCAAGTCAGGGCTCTGGCTGGTCCACTCTAGAACATTCACAGTTGTCCTTAGCCACTCTTGTGTTGTCTTTACTTTGTCATTTTAGACATTGTCATGTTGGGAAGTGACCCAGTCCAGTCTGAAGTCCTGAGTTCTGTGGGAAAGACAAGGTTGAGGGCAACCCTGACCTGGTTCCTAGACCCTGCTGCTGCTTAATAATACCCTCAAAAGCACAACGCTGCCACCACCATGCTTCACTGTTAAGATGGTGTTGGGCAGGGAACTGTACTTTTAAGCAATATAAAAACAGAAAACATACTTGCCTTTTCTATATGCAAAACAATTAATTTATGCCTTTCAAAAATGTTTCCCCTCCCTCCATCAGCCTAACGCTGGTTTAGTCCGTTGTACAACTGATTAAGAAATTGCAGGTGTGTGGGAGGCTGCCTGAGGACTGAAACGATGGATGAATAAATACTTATTGGTAATCACTCGTTACACCAATGTGGTGAGCAACTCCAGGGAGTTACATTACATTACATTATTAATTTATACATCCTGCCCACAAATGGCTCTTATTAAATCTCCCTGTTTATTGTCCAACACCAGTAATGAAACAGAATTTCCACCCTTGGTCGAACAGTTTAGTCTTAGCAGCTTTAAAGTGGTTTGAAAACATATTCACCAAGACTCTGTTCTGGTTCTGGGTCTTAGTTCCATCTCCACACAGGAGTTGTTAAGCTCAGTCATGTTGTTGGTCACCCCTCTCCCTCTACCAGCTCCTGGATAAGTATTGGTTGGACCAACCTACTTCCATCTGAGAATTATGGAGGTCAATATGTTCTTAAAGACCTTCAGTGTAGCACAGTATTCTCATAACTTTCCTTAAATCTGCACCTTGGAACAATCCTGTCTCTGAGTTCTGCACTCACTTCCTTTGATCTCAGGGGTATTTTTATTTATTTTTTGCTCTGATGTGCAAATTTCCAATAAGCAGCAACAACAAAGTAAATCCAAAATAGGTACGGAATACCGATTGTGATGCTAAATGTATAAAAGGTTATCCACCTATAGAACCATTTTGTTACTTCACCCTCCTCTCCTTATTATACTGTATTTATTTTGAAAATAGCCTAATAATGTGCTGCAATATAGTAGAGAAAAAACAATGAAGTATTTCATCTGTGATTTTCCTTGGATCTATCCACAACAACACAAACTAAAACATAAAACTGATAATACGCTCCTCTTCATTCGATGTCAATAACAACAAATCATTGTCATTTAGAAAAGGAGGTTTCTGAGCCAAATTTCAAGTTCTGTAGCAAAAAAATCTGAATACTTAGGTGAATCCTGGTTTTAATTTTTACTAAATTTACATATTTTAAAGACTGATTTTATTTTGTCATTATAAGGTACTAAGTATATTATATAAAAAAAATGAAATCATCAGGCTGCAACAAATTACAAAATGTAAATGGACTTTGGATACTTTCTGAAGCCATTTTTGTGCATATTATTGAGGAAAGATTCAGATTTGTTTACACTGATCACCAAACCACCCTGCTTTTATTTAGTTGGCTTTTAGTGTCCCTGCTTTCTCTTTATAACGCTCGCATATTTACATAATTTATACTTACTTGACCTCGCATTGTTTTGGTCTCTTCTTTTCTTTTTAGTGTCCTCAGGAAGCACTCGCTCAGTGTGTCTTAGCGGAAGTCCCTGGTCAGGTGACCGGTTTCTTCAACACAATGAATCTGAAGCCGCCTCACGGCAACAGTCCTGCCTCTGAGCTGCAACCATCAGTGCCCYCGAGCGATGTTTTCTGAGAAACCACCTTCCTCTGCCAAACCCACGTTGACCCCTGAAACTGTGTGTAAGCTGTTCCAGGCTTTTTAATGAAACCTAATGGTTGTGTTGGCATGTGACATTCAGCATGTTCAAATTTGTAAATTTTATACAGCCTTTTCACTTTTAAGAAGTTCAGTTTGAATAAAAAAACACAACATTTCCTTACAAGTTCTTAACACAATATCTATGATTTGCTTTGGTCAAAACAAGATAACAGTTAACAATACCAGTACTTTCTGTTTTGCTTTTATTTTCACCTCTGTGTACTCAACAAACCTGAGAGCTCATACTAGCACACTACGAAACACTGAAATACTTGAATGTTAGTTTCAGAATATTCTGAAAATCTCAAACACCGTTTGGTCGTCACAAATAAGTGTTTTAAATGATTCRTTTAGGTTCAAACTCCTCACAAGTCATTAAGTAGTTCCAGGTTAGTACTCCTCCATCTCTTACAAAAAGCTGACTTTGTAAACCTGTGCTTCAACTTTTCAATTAGTAGTCAGATAACCTTGTCAGGATATAAAACATAACACAGAAATAAAGTGCTGGTAGGGCTCTGTTAGGGTGTTGTTTTTGTTATGCTAAAGATGATTTAATAGCAGCACAGCAATAAAACCTAATGGAAAACTATTGTTGATATGAAACAATAAAAACAGACTCCCCTCAGTAAAATCAAAATTACTTGAAGGTCAAATTGAGCAGCATAAAGAAGATATTTTCAAATCGTGAGGGGGTGTAAAAGAAGTGGCAGTTTTATTATTGTTATTGCTCCATTTTGGTCTCTTAACTTTTCATTTAATATAGTTTCTTGATGGAAGTGTTAACACAACACAGGCAGGAGGACAATTATTCTTACTGCACGATGGAAGCTGTGGTGACACAAGACACATTTTCTATGTGCAGGCTCACATTTGTTTAGCCAAGACTTCTACACAAATCCATGTAAAAGAGGACAAAAGAGATGGGAACAATCATAACGACTGACTGTTTTAGAGCAGCTCACTTGTACATTCTTCTTCCTTCCTTCTCTCTGAGGGTCAGAAAGATTTGTGTTCACCTGATCCACCATGGTTTCTATGTTACTCCACTTTGACTGTCTGCCTTCTCTGTCCAAAAAATGAAAACGACTGTGCTCAAAAGACTGTTCCTTATCCTCAATATGCAAATGGACTGCAGAGCTTTTCTTTACTCAAAGGTCTGAACACGCCTCGCTGCAGGCACTCATCTTCTGCTTTTGTAAATATAAAAAAGTGCATTTGCCTTCATTGGATATTGCTAGTCACCCAATAAGTATCAAATTATTATTAGAGAACTAAAACATAAAAAAGATCATTGTAGTCACACTTAACCCACTAAACTTTCAATTTCAGAAGTAGATTTAGTGTTGCTTTTTTTAAAATATTGATCAAAATTCTTGTTTTTTGCACATATTATATGTTGGCAAAATAAGACTTGCTGTGAATAGCTTGAGAATTCACAACATTTATTCTCAATATTTGTACAGGAATAGTTAAGTTATTTAGCCTACTCAAATCCAACAGGCTTTTTTGCCCTGACAGACAACATTGTTTTAAGTTTGTCATCATAGACACACACTCCAGAACAACAGTACACGGTAAAACATTAGAAAAACGTTTACCATTTTCTAAGCTAATTTTTCATTTTCTTGACTGACGTGTCAGTTTAAGAGATTGGATTTTTTGGGGGCCTTTTTAGCAAACAAGCTTGATTTGTTTTAGTTTTTTTTTTTTAAAGMGCTGAGGCAGCTAATCGCATCACAGGACAAATATGTTGATGAAGTACCTGGTGTGCTTTAAGTGATGTCATTTGTGATCTTTGTTATATTTTGTCTCATGTCCCCATGTCACTTAAATCTCTCTATTTTGTCTTTACCATTGCATGGTACCTTAGAAAATGTAAAATTGTTTCAGTTTAAATTACAGAGCGTTAACAAAAGCTTTTCTTACTTACCTAATGTTTACAGAATACTTCGAAGCACAGGTGACTGGTTATAATTATTTGTACTAACGAAGTCTGATGTCTAACTCACCAAGAAAGATTTTGTGTGCTAAACTGTTTTTTTAAACTATAAAAATAGAAAACATTCACTTTGTCTTAAATACCTATCATAATCCTGAAAGATACATATTTTTACTTAAAGGTTCATAAATTTATTATTGAGTTAATATGTTGTTTACACTTAAAGCTATATGTATGCAATTTTGCCATGTATATTGTTTTAACTGTGCAAAAAAATTCATAATCTGAAGTTTGAACCAATTTTTTTAAAAATGTAAAATTATCCTAGTAGGTGTCTCTGCAGTACATAGAGGGAGTTTCTAGTTGCGTGAGTGGAGTTTGTCCTAGCTGTGATTGGATAATAGGTGGAAGTTGGGTGTGGGCGGAGGTTGGAAAAATTGGGATTGGTCATATTGTCTTGTGGGGCAACTTAAAGGAGGATGTAATTTTAATAGTAAAATTATTGTGAACATGTATAAACATAATAAATTGACTTCAAATTTTGTGCAGCAAGAACCTTCCAACCTTCAGTTTATCACTAAAATTGATATTAAAGTG